GATAATGAAGTTGGATTAAATTATCTCTAAGGACCCTTTCAGTTCTCTCATTGTGATCCTTTGATTCATCTTGTATACCAATGTCACACTAAATTCTACTAAAAAATGTTCAGTGGCTCCCCAGCTCTTGAGTACATACCAAACTTAGCTTGGCCCCTTGATATCCATCATCTTCTATTTTTTCCCCAATACATCCCTTATTTCAAATGAGTTAATGTTCTCACTATTTTCGATACCCAACCTACTCCTGTGAGTTTATTTTCTCACCTCTGCTTAAAGATTTTCATTATGTGGTGTTTTAACCTCACTAACTTACATTACAGGTGCCCATTAGAATGAGTCAAATTTGTTTCACTCAGGTGTATTTGTTTTGCCATCCCAGTGAGATTTAAACTTAACCACAGAGGCTGGCTTTCACACATGTGTGTGCACAAGCAGACACATCTGCATCCTGCTGGGTAGTAAGAGTACACTACTGCACCTACCTACCCTCCTATTTTTATTTTTTGGCTGCACTGTGCAGCATGCAGGTTCTTAGTTCCCAGAGCAGGGATGGAACCTGCACCCCCCTGCAATGGAAGCGCAGAGGGCTGGACCACCAGGAAAGTTCCTACACACTTTAAATGTAAATTAAGTTGGTAAGTTTCAAAAAAAAAACCAAGGGCATTTTCATCTTTCATTTTAGTGAGGTGGGGAAGGGTATATAAGGTAGAATTTCAAGAACCATAAACATAAAATGACAGAGCTTCCTATTTTGGGAAAAAAGTAGGCATTCTGAAGATAGGATGGTAAGATTTTGGGGAAAAGTTAGAGGAAGGAGCTTTTTAAAATTAGTTAAAGGAAGTACCAATAACTATATCTGAAGAAAACAGAGATGACAGGAAAGGTGCTTTAATAAATGGTTTTGAAGCAGATATGCGGATGGACTAAATGAGCGCACTAACTTGAAGAAGTAGAAAAAAAATCTCTGGAAGCAAAACTAAGAACTCAAGCAAACATCAGTTTGAACACTGGGAAATGTAATATTGTTGCTCTCATTAGAACTGAGGAGGCAATGGCAGCTCTGGTGAAAGAAATTTAGAAGGAAATATTAAGAGAAAAAATGATAGTTAAAAAGGTGCTCATAAGTTTCCAGAAAGTTTGGACAATGCTACAATCTTTTATCTCCAAATAAGAAAGTCAGGCTGGCAGAGAAATGATGAGCAATTTAGTCTGTATAATGTTTAATTCAACTAACAAAGGCCACAGTGCAGTATATTCAGCATATTCTAAACCATGTAGAATTGGATCAGCAAACAAAGGTGTCTGCAAACAAAGCTACTGTCACCAGCACAGCTGATGCTAATTGAACATAGAGTAGTGATGTTACTTGAGTATCCAGTAAGATTATTTAGCATATATCTTATTTTACCTCAAATAACACTGCCTTGTGTTATATTCTCTATCAAACATGAATTACTTGAGACATTATCTCATTAATTTAAGCCTTTGTATAGATACATAACAATAATTTTTGTTTCCTCTTTAACATTATTATGCCAACTTCCCCTCAGTGATGAATTCTCTTTCAAATTCAGCAACTACTAAAATGTTATAAATGTTCAAACATTTCTCAAAAGGCAACAACCCATGAATGTCTATAAACTTTTTTTGCTAAAAATGACTCTTTAAATTGGCTTTTTAAAATTTACAAAATGTTATACTGACTTTTAATAAAGATTAAATAAATTAAACAAATAATAAATTATTTAATAAATTAAATAAATTAGAAAACAAATTAGAAATAAATTATTAAACTAAATAAATTAGCTCTAATTAAATAAATTATAACTTTTCAACCTTAGTACTTAATTAAGAACTATGTACAGAAGTTCATAACACTTTTCAGGAGGCAGTGACCAAAACCATCTCAAAGAAAAAGAAATACACCTTTTCTGGTAAGCGGCCTGAGCTGACCCCTAAAAATGGTGCGCTATTCACTCAACCCAGAAAACCCCACAAAATCATGCAAATCAAGAGGTTCAAATCTTCGTGTTCACTTTAAGAACACTCGTGAGACTGCCCAGGCCATAAAGGGTATGCATATCCGAAAAACCACCAAGTATCTGAAGGATGTCACCTTAAAGAAGCAAATGTGCCATTCTGTTGTTACAAAGGTGGAGCTGGGAGGTGTGCACAGGCCAAACAGTGGGGCTGGACGCAGGGTCGGTGGCCCAAAAAGAGTGCTGAATTTTTACTACACATGCTCAAAAATGCAGAGAGTAATGCTGAACTTAAGGGCTTAGATGTAGATTTTCTGGTCATTGAGCACATCCAAGTGAACAAAGCCCCCAAGATGCGGCGCAGGACTTACAGAGCTCACTGTCGGATCAGCCCCTACATGAGCTCTCCCTGCCACATTGAGATGATCCTTACTGAAAAAGAACAGATTGTTCCTAAACCAGAAGAGGAGGTTGCACAGAAGAAAAAGATATCCCAGAAGAAACTGAAGAAACAAAAACTTATGGCCCGGGGAATAAATGCCACAGAAAATAAATGCAAATAAAAGTAAAAAAAAAAAGAAATACAAGAAAGGCAAAGTGGCTGTCTGAATGGCATTACACATAGCTGAAGAAAGAGAAGCAAAAAGCAAAGGAGAAAGGGAAAGAAATAACCAACTGAATGCAGAGTTCTAGAGAGCAGCAAGGAGATAAGAAAGACTTCTTAAATGAACAGTGCAAAGAAGCAGAGGAAAAAAATAGAATGGGAAAGACTAGAGATCTCTTCAAGAAAATCAGAGATACCAAGGGAACATTTCACATAAGGATGGGCATGATAAAGGACAGAAATGTTAAGGACCTAACAGAAGCAGAAGAGATTAAGAAGAGGTGGCAAGAATGTACAGAAAGCCTACACAAAAAAGACCTTAATGACCCAAAAACCACGATGAAGTGGTCACTCACCTAGAAGCTGAAGTCAAGTGGGTCTTAGAAAGCATTACTACAAACAAGCCTAGTGGAGGTGATGGAATTCCAGCTGAGCTATTTTAAATACTAAAAGATGATGCTGTTAAAAGTGCTGCACTCAGTATGTCAGCAAATTTGGAAAACTCAGCAATGGTCACATGACCGGAAAAGGTCAGTTTTCACTCCAATCCCAAAGAAGGGTAATGCCAAAGAATGTTCAAAATACTGTACAACTGTGCTCATTTTGCATGCTACCAAGGTTATGCTCAAAATCCTTCAAGCTAGGCTTCAGCAGTGGTGAACTGAGAACTTTCAGATGTACATGCTGTTTAGAAAAGGCAGAGGAACCAGAGATCAAATTATCAAGATCCTTTGGATGACAGACAAAGCAAGGCAATTCCAGAAAAACATCTACTTCTGATTCATTGACTATGCTAAAGCCTTTGACTGTATGGATCACAACAAACTGGAAAATTCTTAAAGAGATGGAAATACTAAACCACATTACTTGAGAAACCTGTATGTAGGTCAAGAAGTAATGGTTAGAATCTCACATGGAATAACTGACTAGTTCCAAACTGGGAAAGGGGTATGATTAGGCTGTATATTGTCACTCTGCTTATTTAATTTATATGCAGAGTACATCACGCAAAATGACAGGATGATGAATCACAAACTGGAATCAAGACTGACAGGAGAAATAACAACCTCAGATATGGAGATGACACCACTCTAATGGTAGAAAAGTGTAGAGGAACTAAAAAGCCTCTTGATGGGGATGAAAGTGGAGAATGAAAAAGCTGGCTGAAAACTCAGCGTTCAAAAAACAAAGATCATGGCATCCAGTCCCATCACTTCAAGGCAAATAGATGGGGAAAGAGTGGAAGGAAGCACTTGGCAGATTTTATTTTCTTAAGCTCCAAAATCACTGCAGATGGTGACTGCAGCCATGAAATTAAAAGACACTCGCTCCTTGGAAGAAAAGCTATGACCAACCTAGATAGCATAATAAAAAGCAGAGACACCACTTTGCCAACAAAGGTCTGTCTAGTCAAAGATATGGTTTTTCCCGTAGTCATATACAAATGTGAGAGCTGAACCATAAAGGCTGAGTGCCAAAGAATTGGACTTTCAAACTGTGGTGCTGTAGAAGACTCGAGAGTCCCTTGGACAGCAAGGAGATTAAACCGGTCAATCCTAAAGGAAATCAACCCTGAAAATTCATTGGAAAGACTGATGCTGAAGCTCCAATACTTTGGCCACCTGATCTGAAGAGCCAACTCGTTGTAAATGACCCTGATGCTGGGGAAGACTGAAGACAAAAGGAGGAGAGAGTGGCGGAAGACGAGATGGTTGGAGAGCATCACCCACTCAATGGACGTTGAGCAAACTCCGGAAGAGAGGGAAGGACAGGGAAGCAGTCCATGGCACTGCAAAGAGTCGGACATGACTTAGTAACAGAACGATAAGAAACAGTTCCCTAGGAGGCACGAGTGATAAAGTACCCTTCTACCAGTGCAGGAGACAGAGACATGGGTTTGATCCCTGGGTTGGGGAGATCCCCTGGAGGAGGGCATGGCAACCCACTCCAAAATTCTTGCCTGGAAAATCCCATGGATGGAGGAGTATGTTAGATAACAGTCAATGGGGTTACAAAGAATTTGACACAACTGAAGCAACTTAGCACGTGGCATGTACATACAGCTTCCTAACAAAGTATAAGTTCAGTTCGATCTAAGATCCTGTACCTTCTGGAAAAATTTAAAATTCTCATCCCAGGATTATTGTATTATTAGGATTAATAGAAATAACCATCAGAGCAGGAAGCAAAGTACATTTTGTTCTTAAAGCTAAAACAGAAAACAAGTAACATCTGTATGTACTTTCTGATTTTAAGTGTAAAATCCTTAAAAGCTCTGCTTGAAATATAACCATTTCCCCACAATGAAAATGTGTATAATAAATGCATTCCAAAGAAAACTAACCTACCCTTTACATATCTCAAAAACTATAAAGAAATACAAGAACAAATATATACATAATGATTTAAATTACCTTTCTTCCTCGCGAACCCACACTGGACTTTTAGGAATTTGTGCTTCAAAAAATTTAGATGCTTTATAACAAAAATTGCTGCAAAAACACTGAAAAGAGCATTTTAAAACCAGCAACTTATTTTGTTCTTATTGTGAAATACAATTTATGTACAGAAGAGAATATAAAACATAAATATGTAGTTCACAGAAAAAAAAAATCAAGAATCGACCACCCAAGAAATAAGATTTAGTACCTCTGAAGGCTTTTCTGTGTCCCTCCCCAATCACATGGCTCTCCACATTCCCCAGAGATAACCACTATCATAAATTCTGTGTTACTCATTCCTTTGCTTTCTTTCAGTCTTGCTTCTGACATTTGGTTTTGCCTATTTTTAAACTTTGTTTAAGTGGAGTATTATTATGTATCCTTGTATTCTGTTCCACATTATGTTTTTCAGAGTTATTTATGTAGCTATAGCATATGCATTTACACTGTGTATTATATTCCATTGCCTAAGTATTACTACCTTTCAGTTACTGTTTAAGGACAATGAGTTGTTATTTTTTGTTGTCATTACCATGTTACATGAACCTTTTTTAATTACAACTTTTACATTAAAAAAATTGTGGTATGATACATAAAATTCATCATCTTACACATTTTTAAGTGTTCAGTTCAGTGGCTTTAAGTACCTTCTTACTATTTTGCAACTATCACCATCATCCATCTCCAGAACTCTCTTCCTCTTACAAAACTGGGACTCCACACCGATTAAACTATAACTCCCCATTTCCATCTCCTGTGACAAAAACCATTCTACTTTCTGTCTCCATAAATTTGACTACTCTCAATTATGTTAAATAAGTAGAATCATAGACTATTTTTCCTTTTGTACTGGCTTATCTCACTTAGAACAATGTCTTCAAAATTCATTCAGTTGTAGCTGTGTCAGAATTTCCTTCCTTTTTAAGGCTAAATAATGTTCTATTCTACGTACTGAATATGCACCGTATTTTGTTTATCCGACTAGGAACATTCATGGGCTTCCCTGGTAGTTCTGATGGTAAAGAATCTGCCTGCAATGAAGGAGACCCAGGCTCCATCCCTGGGTCAGGAGGATCCCCTGGAGGATGAATGGCCACCCACCCCAGTATTCTTGCCTGGAAAACCCCATGGACAGAAAAGCCTGGCAGATACAGTCCATGGGGTCGCAAAGAGTCAAACACATCTGAGCAACCGAGCAGCAGGCTACAGTCCGCGGGGTTCCAAAATAGCTGGACAAGTCTGAGCAACTTAGCACGAGGAACGCTCATACACATATGTACTTGTGTACACAGGTTAAATAAGAATGAGTTTATACCAAAAAATAGAATGGTCACAAAGAATGCGTAAATTCGACTTTAACAAATTTGATTTTGCCAAACAGTTTCTCAGAAAGGTTGTACCAATATTTATTTGACCAGAAGTATAAAGAGTCACTAATGTTGTCAAATTTTTATACTTTTACTAATTTGGGAGCTATAAAAATGTAAGTAACTCAGTGTGTTCTAATTTGCTATTTTCCTGATTACTGATAAGGCTGAGCATCTTTTCACATATTCATTAGTCATTCAAGTTCCTTCTGTAAAATTTTTTTTATCTAAATTTTGTCTTTTTCTTATAGATGATGCATTCTGGTTATGAATCTGTGGTTAGTTATATGTGAGAAATATAACTCCTGATTTGTAGCTTATCTTTTCACTCTTGTTTTAGAAACTTCAATGAGCAAATGTTTTCTATTTTAATGTAGAAAATTTATCCGTTTTTCCTCTCTGGTCTATAATTTTCTATCTTATTTAATAAATTCTCTCCAACCCAAGTTCTGAAAACATATTTTTTTACATTTAGGTTCTTAATCTACCTAAAATTGATCTTTGTATACACACTCTAATAGCTATCAGTTTTCATTTTTTCTGTATGGATAATTGGGAGTGTATAATTTATTAAAAAACCCATCCCTTCTCCACTGACCTAAGATACTCCTGATGTCTTATGTTCAGTGTCCATACAAGTAGTATGAGTCTGCTTCTGGCTCTCTATTCTGTTCTATGAGTCACTCACCTGAATTCATGCCAATATGCAATTTTTAAATGTTCACATACTAACTAAAGTGTAAGCAAAAAAAATTTTAACACTATACATATTTATAAATGAGAAACTTTTAACATAGTCATTTTCTAAAAGGCAAGATTTTAAACAGGTATTTTTAGAATTCCATTTAGTATAATATTAAATATTAACTCCCACATTGATAATAATCTTTAAACTTACCTTTCTTTCAGTAATATCATAGACTTTATTAGCTTTGGTAGAAATTTTGTATTTCTGTTTTGGTACCTAAAGAAAAGAAAGTATAGCATATGATAGAATTCAAGTAATAAACATGAGCTTTATGGTTAACATTAAGTCATCTATATATTATATCATTGGCTAACCCACATCATTAGTTCATGAACTCAGTTTTATTTATTGTTCTTCTTACATGGTATTTGCTAAATATGAAAGCTAAAAGTCTACAGGTTAAAAAAAAAAGTTACTTACAATTCCTAGCTTGTTCTGACATAAAGGATAGCCACAGAGTTTGATAATAGAACGCTCATCCACGATATCACTATAGTGAGCAGGTGTGATGAATTTCCCCTACAACGAAATGAGAGGGGCACTTAACTCTCCCAGATTATTCAAAAAGTTTATTTATCAGCTCTTTAGGCCTCATTGATCTCATATGAAAACACAGGGATCATAAAAGTACCTATCTCATAGATTTGATAGAATCAGAGGAGAAAATACAGGAAAAGCACTTAGAAAAGTGCTTCTAGACACATTCTAAGTACTTAGAAAATATGTTATTATTTAAAAACACACAAACCCATAAAACTCCCAAAATTTCTGCCACAGTAAACTATGCATCTTTGTGGATTATACAACTCATGAAATAATTCTGATGCAGGAGGAAGAGGTGATGCTATTCTGACTGCTTTACCAGAGGAAAATATTAATAGTATATTTTTTATTTTTAAAACTGTTACTCAAAAATAAACAGAATTATATACAATTTTACCTATTTCTGAAAGCACAGTTTTATAAACAAAGTATTTTAAAGGTTTCACTGTGACTCCTGAACAAATTTTTGTGCAAAATCTTCCACCTTCTGAAAAAACAGAACAGTGAGGTGACAGTTAATAAGCTAACACCGAATATTTTTGACATTTTCTTGTTCAAATAATCTCAGATCTACCACCCAGAATAATGGGTTGGCTATGTCAGTAGGCTAGAGGGGAATGTTTAAAGGTACGAGAGAGAGTGATGAAGAAAGGTCTCAGAAGAGGAGGAAGATGATGAAGTTGGGCAATAGGTGGAAAGATGGGTCAAGGCAAAGAAGAATCTCCCCTCTTCTGATGAGAAGGAGTAAAGGTGAGGCTAAGTAAGCTAAGTGACAGGGTGAGCAAGAGAGTGCAGCAGAGAAAAAGATCCAGGTGTCTGCTGTGTTCTCCATGAATTAGGCAAGAGCTTAGAGGAACGGAGTATGGACTTGGGAAAAGCAGTAATGATGGCAAGAGTGGCAGCAGGTGGTTAGAAAAGGTGCTAATTACAGATATAAATGATATATATACTATATAAAAAATATACAAACAACAAGGCCCTACTGTATAGCACAGGGAGCTATAGCAGAGTCGGACACAATTGAGTGACTAGCATGCATGTGCGCGCACACACACAAGTATAACTGAACACGTTGCTGTATACCAGAAACTAACATTACATTGTAAACTAATGGAACTTCAATAAAAAACAAAAAACAAACAAACCTCAGTTCTTGAGACAAACTAGCATTTCTGGTTTATCTTTAGAGTCATCAAGTGTGGAGATTCTGATGCAGTTACCCGTATCAATTTAAATATTATCATATTTATATTCCTCTTGTTTAGGAAAATCTCTGAGCTACACTAAGAATTATTTCTACAATAAAAACTCTAGCTTTAATTTTCCATTTCTTTTTTCTTATAAGAATTATGAGGATATAACACACATTTCAAGTTTTTAATGAAATAAAGCCATTAATGAAAACAAAAAAATTTTTAATGTAAATGATAATTCTCATTATGTGTTGACTAAACCATAGGAGATCTGTATCTCATGGTTTTAAAATATCAAAATTAATGAAATTACATTAACAGAAATGATGATTTTCTATTACTAAAACAGGACAACATACAGCCTATGAAAAATGACATGGTGGTCAGCAGTGCACAATGAAAATCAAGTGAGATTAGCAGACTGATTAAAAAAACTACTATTAAGGGATAAAATAAGCATGTTACCTCTCTCAAGTACATTTTAAAGTCATAAAACAAAGAATGCATAATAGTAATGGTTATCTTTAAATGCACAAATTATATAGCGTGTGACTGACAACAAATTCAAAGATTTCAATAATGCAAGCAAGTTTCATGTTACACAGATTTAAAGACTTTATACTATAAAAGTGTTAGTCAGTCAGTCATGTCTGATTCTTTGCAACCCAATGAACTGTAGCCCACTAGGCTCTTCTGTCCATGGGATTTTCCAGGAAAATACACTGGAGTGGGTAGTCATTTCCTTCTTCAGGGGATCTTCCCTACCCAGAGATCAAACTGAGGTCTCCTGCATAGTAGACGGTTTCTTCACCATCTGAGCCACCAGGGGAGCTGGTGGCAAACCACTTCAGCGTTTTTGCCTTGAGAACCCCATGAACAGTATGAAAAGGCAAAAAGGTATGACACTGAAAGATGAGCCCCCAAAGTCAGTGGGTGCCCAATATGTTACTGGAGAAACAGTTCCAGAAAGAATGAAGAGGCTGGACCGAGGTGGAGATGTCTCCTAGTTGTGGCTGTGTCTGGTGGTGTCCAGTCTGAGGCTGTACAGAACAATACTGCACAGGAACCTGGGATGTCAGGTCCATGAACCAAGGCAAATTAGGTGTGGTCAACCAGGAGATGGCAAGAGTGAACATCGACATCTTAGGAATCATGGACAGGTGATGATGGACAGGAATGGGTGAATTTAATTCAGATGACCATTATGTCTACTATGGTGAGAAGAATCCCTTAGAAGAAATGAAGTAGCCCTCATAGTCAACAAGACAGTCTGAAATGCAGTGCTTGGGTGCAATCTCAAAAATGAGAGGATGATCTCCATTTGTTTCCAAGACAAATCATTCAACAACACAGTAATCCAAGTCTATGCCCCAACCACTGACTCTGAAGTTGAATGTTCTATGAAGACCTACAAGACATTATAAAACTAACACCGAAAAACTATGTCCTTTTCATCACAGGGGATTGGAAAGCAAAAGCAGGCAGTCAAGCGATACCTGAAATATCTAGCAAGTTTGGCCCTGCAGTAGAAAATGAAGCAGGGCAAAAGCTCACAAGAGTTCTGCCAAGAGAACACACTGATCATAGCAAATATCCTCTTCCAAAACACAAGAGATGGCTCTACACATGGACATCACCACATAGTTAATACTGAAATCAGACTGATGATATTCTTTGCAGCCAAAGATGGACAGCCTCTACACAGTCAGCAAAAACAAGACCGGGAGCTGAATGTGGCTCAGATCACGAACTCCTTATTGCAAAATTCAGACTTAAACTGAAGAAAACAGGGAAAACCACTCAGCCATTCAGGTATGACCTAAATCAAATCCCTTATGATTATACAGTGGAAGTGACAAATAAGATTCAATGGACTAGATCTGATAAGGGTGTCCGAAGAACTATGGACAGAGGTTTGTAACGCTGTATAGGAGACAGTGATCAAAACCATCCCAAAGAAAAAGAAATGCCAAGAAGGCAAAGCGGTTGTCTGAGGAGGCCTTACAAACAGCTGAGAAAAGAAGAGAAGCAAAAGGCAAAGGAGAAAGGGAAAGACACACCCAACTGAATGCAGAGTTCCAAAGAATAGCAAATAAGAAAGCCTTCTTAAATGAACAATGCAAAGAAACAGAGGAAAACAATAGAATGGGAAAGATTAGAGATCTCTTCAGGAAAACTGGAGATACCAAGGGAACATTTCATGCAAAGATGAGCACAATAAAGGAGAGACACAGCAAAGACCTAACAGAAATGGAAAAGGTTAAAAAGAGATGGCAAAAATATACAGAACTATATAAAAAAGGTCTTAATGATCCAGATAATCACGATGGTGTGGTCACTCACCTAGAGCCTGACATCCTGGAGTGTGAAGTCAAGTGGGCCTTAGGAAGCATTACTACGAACAATGCTTGTGGAGGTGATGGAATTCCAGCTATTTCAAATCCTAAAAGATGATGCTGTTAAAGTAAAGTGCTGCACTCAATGTCAGCAAATTTGGAAAATTCAGCAGTGGCCACAGGACTGGAAAAGGTCAGTTTTCATTCCAATCCCATAGAAGGGCAATGCCAAAGAATATTCAAACTAACATACAATTGTGCTTATTTCATATCCTTGCAAGGTAATGCTCAAAATCTTTCAAGCTAGGCTTCAACAGTACATGAACTGATAACTTCCAGATGTAAAAGCTGGGTTTCAAAAAGGCAGAGGAACAGAGATCAAATTGCCAACATTCATTGGATCATAGAAAAGGCGAGAGAATTCCAGAAAAACATCTACTTCTGCTGCATTGACTACAATAAAGCCTTTGACAACAAACTGTGGAAAATTCTTCAAGAGATGGGAATACTAGACCACCACCTTACCTGCCTCCTGAGAAACATGTATGCAGGTCAAGAAGCAATAGTTGGAACCAGACAAGGAACCAATGGACTGGTTCAAAACTGGGAAAGGAGTATGTTCAGGCTGTATATTGTCACTCTGCTTAATTAACATATGCAGAGCAAATCATGCAAAATGCCAGGCTGGATGAATCACAAGTTGGAATCAAGATTGCTGGGAGAAATGTCAATAATCTCAGATATACAGATGATACCACCCTAATGGCAGAAAGAAAAGAGGAACTAAAGAGCTGCTTGATGAGGGTGAGGGAGGAGAGTGAAAAAGCTGGTTTAAAACACAACATTCAAAAAACTAAGATAATGGCATCCAGTCCCATCACTTCATGGCAAACAGACAGGGAAAAAAATGGCAACAGTGGCAGATTTTATTTTCTTGGGTTCTAAAATCACTGAAGATGGTGACTGCAGCCATGAAATTCAGATGCTTGCTCCTTGGAAGAAAAGCTATGACAAACCTACACAGCACCATTAAAAAGCAGGGACACCACATTGCCAACAAAGGTCCATATATAGTCAAAGCTATGGTTTTTCCAGTAGTCATGTATGGATGTGAGAGTTGGACCATAAAGAAAGCTGAGTGCCACAGAATTGATGCTTCCGAATTGTGGTGCTGGAGAAGACTCCTAGAGTCCCTTGGACTGCAAGGAGATGAAACCAGTCAATCCTAAAGGAAATCAATCCTGAGTATTCACTGGAAGGACTGATGCTAAAGCTCTAATACTTTGTCCACCTAAAGTGAAGGGCTGATTCATTATAAGATACCCTGACACTATGAAAGATGGAAGGCAAAACGAAAAGAGGAGGGCAGAGGATGAGTTGGTTAGACAGTATCATCGACTCAATGGACATGAGTTTGAGCAAACTCCAGGAGATAGTGAAGGATAGGGGAGCCTGGAGTTCTGCAGTACATAGGGTTGCAAAGACTCCAAACATGACTTAGCCACTGAAAACAACATACTATAGAAGTAATAATTTATCAATACATACACACTCCCTTAGGAATTCTTCCGAAATATTCTCTTCTAAAAGCTGTTCCACAATATGTAGAGCTTTTCTCTCAAACTCAATCTTCTTTCTGACAGCTGCTTCTAGTTCTGCTTTCCTAAATTAAAAAAAAAAAGGTATTTAAGTTATTCTGCTTAAGTTTTAGCATAGCTAATTTTCTACATTTTAAAATTAAACACTAATGATATACTATTTTGCTATTAAGGTTAAATGTACATTTTAAAATGCTGTTTCTTTTGATCCAGTATTTTTCAAAAAGGAAACAAGCTACTTGTTATTGACGTCTGTCATAACAGGATTATTTGACTTCCAGGGCTCAGAGAACAAGGAAGAATTTAGAGTATCCTATAGAAAAGAAAATGGGAGGAAATCTTTTTTTGCCAGTTAAGACTCCATCATTATTGAAATGATAATCTATCATTCTCTATCATTCCTCTGAGCTTTTACCTAAAAATGGAGGCTTTTCCCTTGAAATCATTAGAAATCAGAAGGGAATGGAGAGAAAAAATATGATTTTGGTTGTTCTCTTAAACACAAATTTCTTTGTGCTAATTCTCAAATGTTAACTAAATGGCCAGCCTGGTTTAATAGGACAGTCATATTTGCAAAGGAGTATTTACTTACCTTTGTTGTAAAGTCTTATTAAATAACTGTACCAGTATGACTCTATGGTTCAGGAAAACAACAATCTAGGAGGCACCAGTGAAAATATGTCAGCCTTTGCGGGCCCCACACATCATGAATATAAAAGCAGAGGCTATCTGATCAAAAAGTGGTCCTAGGACAGTGGTCCTCAATATCAGCCGCAGTTTAGGATCATTTGATGAGACCTTTTTTAAAAAAGATACCATGTTCAGGTCCCACTGCAGGCTAACTCAATAAGAATCTTTGAGGATGGGCCCTAATTAATGGTGTTTTCTTAGAAGTGCTCCAGATAAACCTAGTGTGTAACAGGGTTGAGAACCAGTACCATGGGAACAAAGATACCAACTATCTTGGTGACTTGTTTGCTACACTAGTTTCTACTCGCTGACCAGAACAACCTTGCTGCCATCCTGGATCTTGAGGGCTCTCATATCTGGACTTAGAATGTACTCAGTCCTGAATATTCATTGCAAGGACTGATGCTGAAGCTCCAATACTTTGGCCACATGATGCAAAGAATGGACTCATTGGAAAAGACCCTGATGCTGGGAAAGAATGAAGGCAGGAGGAGAAGGGGACGTCAGAGGATGAGATGGTTGGATGGCATCACCGACTCAATGGACATGAGTCTGAGCAAGCTCCGGGAGTTGGTGATGGACAGGGAAGCCTAGCTCACTGCAGTCCATGGGGTCTCAAAGAGTCGGACATGGTTAAGTGACTGAACTGAGAATGTACTCCACCTTTTCTCCCTACCTTTATTGACTGCCAAGACTTTAGCATCTAATTTCTTGCCTGGAGCAATATGTTTCACAAAAACAATTTGGAGAATTGACACAAGACTGCCAGCGAGGGACAAACAGGGACATTAAAACAAGAATGTCTCACTGTTCACACTGTTTGCTAAACCCAGGGTAGGCAAGGCACTAGCAAGGAAGCCGGAAGAAAACTCAAGGAGTCAAAGTAAGTGAAGACACATTTGTGTTCTCCTGATTGCAACAACAGCTGTAGCAGCAGATACACTGTATTCTCTCCTCTCATGACTAACCCAGTGGACACAGCCCTAACACAGCCAAAAAGCTCTTCAGGTGGAGCTCATATATGTTTACAGAACAAAAGTGGCCCGTGGCCAAGTGAGTACATTGTGACGCACATGTGCGGTGCTGTAAGTTATCTCAGCTGTTACATGACCATGTATTTACAAAACCTGGGGTCAGAGCGAGATGCCCTGGGGCAAGAGAGCCTGACCACCACCTCTTTGGTTGATCTGCTCTTTCCCTACAAAGAAGAAACTTGCAATTAACACCTGTTCTCCCACCATTTCATACTGAATATATTTAGCTCTATGAAAAACATTTTTCTCATTTTGCTGCTTACCAATAAAAGCTATGTCATTTATTAAGATCAGAATAGAATGTGCACTGGGAGTTTCTGACTTAAGGAGTTAATTACCTCAACCTGCAGTAATAGCAGACTCCTCTGAACTGAATACCTACAGTTGTTTCCCATGGACAGCCCTGTCTCAGAGCTCCCTTCTATCCCACATGACGACACGTGGTGTGGTCTACAGCAGTGGTTCTCAAACTTCTGGCATCAGTGGTCTTTTATAATCTTAGTTTTTGCTTATGCAGATTGTATCTGTTGATAGTTACCATAATGGGATTAAAGGTAAGAAAAATTTCAAGCACTCATGAACTCATTTAATAGTAATATATCCATTACACGTTAACATATTTTTAAATGAAAACTTCAGTGTGAATTACAGAATTGTTTTATATTTTCACAAAGCTCTTTAATTTCTGGCTTAATACTATTCAGCTGGATTGAACGCAGAAGTATTTTTCAGTTGGAATAAATTCATGAAGGATCACTTCTCCCTCAACACCTAGTCGGTTACCCTCAAGGATTTTTAATTGTTTCATCATCCTGGGTGATCTGCTTGAAATACATTTCAGCTTATCTGTATTCTTCATATTGTAGTACTTAAAATAAAAGATAATCTCCTTGGGCGTGCAGTCAGATCCATGTTGAAGAGAGTTGCAAATTACTATTATTATTATTAACTAAACTTTACTGTTGTATTATTTTCTAAAGCCAAGCATAGTCATTCTGCTCCACAAGAAAACACACCTCAAATTCATCTGATTTCTCCACTCCCAAATGATCATTATCCCTAACACCTTAACACTTTTGAAACTTAAATTCTATTACTTTATTACTTGAAGTTTTGTTTGCACTTAGAAAATCTGAATTTCTCATCATAGTCTACTGGTACTGTTTGAATGCAACCCTGCCTCTAACTTATTCCTACACTCCTTTCTTCCTTTGCTCACACGAGCCTGGGCATCTCTCCTTTCTTCTTGTCACATATATTGGTGCTTCTGGCTGGAGGTCTCTCCTCACTATTCTGTCTGGTAAATGCCTACCTAGCCTTCCAGTCAGTTTAACTATTACTTTCTCAGAGAAGCTTTTCCCTGAAAACATACCACCCTTCCTGCCAACCTCTCCTGTTTTTAGTTCCTCCATAACAGTCTTCTCATTTGCAATTATGTATTTATTTGTGATAATTTAATTGGTATTTCTCTGTTCTACTAGACAGGAACTGTGCCTATACTGTTCAAAATCATATCCTCAGGGCCTCTGAAACGGAAACACTCCCAAAAGAGAACACAGGCAGAACAGCCTTTGACATAAATCTTAGCAATTTTTAAAAATCTGTCTCCCAAGGTGAAGGAAACGAGCAAATATAAACAAACAGGAAGGACCTAATTATACTTAAAACTTTTGCAAACAAAAGGAAACCATCAACAAAATGAAAAGAAAATCTACTGACAGGGAGAAAATATTTGCAAATGATATGACCAATTAGAGTTTAATATCCAAAATATATAAACAGCTCACACAACTCAATATCAAAAAAACAATCCAATTAAAAACTGGGCAGAAGAAACAGGACACTTTCCCAAGGATGTATAGATGGCCAACAGGCACATGAAAAAATGCTCAACATCGCTAATTATCAGAGAAATGCAAATCAAAACCACAAAATGAGATATCACCTCACATCTGTCAAAAAGCCTATCATTTAAAAGTCTACAAATAACAAATGTTGAGGAGGATGTGGAGAAAAGGGAATCCTCCTCCTGTTAGTGGGAATATAAATTGGTGCAGCCACTACAGAAAACAGTATAGAGGTTCCCTAAAAAACTAAAAACTACCATATGATCCAGCAACTTCACTCCTGGGTATATATGTGAAGAAAATTACAACATTAGTTTGAAAAGACACATGCACCTCAATGTTCATAGGAGCATAATTTATAATGCCAAGATACAGAAGCAATATGTGTCCATCAACAGACAAATGGATAAAGATGATGCGGTTTACACATGCCATGGAATACTACTCAGCTATAAAAAAGAATGAAATCCTGCAATTTGTGACAACGTGGATGTACCTAGAGGATATTATGCTTAGTGATGTAACCCAGAGAAAAGACAGATATTCTGAGATCACTTATATAAAGGACAAATCAGTGGTTACCAGTAGGGAAACAGTAGGGGGAAGGGCAAGAGTGGGGTATGGGATTAAGAGATACAAACTATGTATACAATAAATAAGCAACAAGGAAGTATTATATAGCACAGAGAAATTTAGTTATTATTTTGTAATAACTTAGAATATAATTTATAAAAATATTTAATCTATATACTGTACATCTGAAACTAATATAATATTGTAAATCAACTAGAGTTCAAAAAATTAAAAAAATCTTATCCACAGGGACTAACACAGATCTAGCATATCTTACATTCAGTAAATAATTCTTGAAAGAATGAGTAAATTAAAACCAATACTTCATAAAATCATAATATATAGTTACATCATCCTCAAAGATGACATCTATTCTAAGAACCTTTTGTGTCAGGAGATAAAGGTTGCGTTTTTAGGAGATGCCCATTGAATAGTATAGAACAACTTTTTGCTGAAAATATGGACATGATGTAAACAAAGAAAAACAACAAAAAGTTTCTTGGAGTCTGGTATATAAAACAAAAAGGAAAGTATCTGAAGAGATGGAAAAAAAGGTACCTAGTTAATTCAGGAATGTTTATTACCACTGACATTTTTCTACAGATATTCATACATTCACCAGCAATCTAAGTGTCAACTTGGTTTTCTTAAGGCATGGAAGAGTAGGGGAAATAACAGTCTACGTGAGAGTTTACAGTACTTCCCAGATCTTCCCCTTCTAAGTAATTTTCTCTGAGGTAGCACCTATTACACTTTTTACAAATAGTTCAATTAGTATGTGATTAACAGGTAAGCGAAAGCAGCTGTCTATGTCATTCTCATACCTTTGAGAAGCATCTTCTTGGTTCAAGGCACTTGTCCGCTTGGTACCTACAACTAAAAGAAACAAAAATCAGTAGGTCAAGTGTACACAAACACCAGGTTACAGGACAGGTTCTTGCCCAAATAAACTGTAGACCATCCTTTCTTCTTCTCTAACATTTCCCTTCCAACTCTGTGTGAAAATCAAATGAAACGAGAAGGGAATCCAATTTGGTTTTGCAAGCTAATTATTTTTCTTGGTTAAAACGTACCTCTTTCAGGACTCAATTTTCTCGTTATCCTAGTTGCATAATTAAGCACTCCTGAAAGCCTGAGATCTAGGGGGCAACCTCTCTCCGTCCCCCTCAATGTTCGCTCTCTGGTAAAGAGGGGCGTGACCCCCTCGGGGACCCAGGGCACCATAGGGGCAGTCCACCTGCAAGGAGGACCAGTGCTAGGGTGAAGGCCAGCTGCACTCGGCCTTCCAACGCCCTCCTGGTCACCTGCCCACTCAGACGACCCCGATTGTAGGCTCTCAGGACCTCTCCTGCCCTTTCCCTTAGGGCCTGGAACATAGCCAACCCATTCTGGGGGAAATCTTGGAAGACTAGCGTCCAAAGATGGGGATTCGGACGAAGGTCTCTCCCATAAGGCGAGAGTTCGGCGGTAGAAAGCTTAGAAAGCTCTCGGCCTTCTTGCCCCCGAGGATCACCTCCCCTGGGGCAGCCTTTCGGGAGCGCCCGCAGGCCTCCGTCTGGAATTCTGTCGGGGCCGAATTCTCAGTTCCAAACTTGGGAACAGGCCCTTCCTCCTACCCGCGACGTCTCGGGGGGCCCGGGGACGCCGGGCTTTGCGGCCCTCAGAGCACGATCCGACCCAGTCGGCCATGGGGTGCGCCGTCAGCGTCGGAACCGACCCTGGCGTCTTTCCCCCCAAGACTCCGCCTCCCGTCGCGCAGCGCGGGGCGGGGCCGGCTGGGAGGGGAGGGACCCGGAAAGCAGCGCGGCGGCGGCGGCGGCGGCGGCGGCGGCGGAGGAGAGCCGCGAGAGGGGCGAGAGGCCTGGCGGTAGGTGGATACACGCGGGGTCCCTGGCAGCCGGGGCTCGCGGTGGGAGGTGAGCCGCGGAGGACCCGGCGTCCGGGCCGAGGCTTCCGTGAGGTCTGGGGCCCAATGGCCGACGCAGGCAGGAACCGAGAGAAATGGCTTCCCTTGGATACCGCCTGCACGCGCGCTGGGGTTCTTTCGCCCTGCAGCCGGGTGCTGTGAGGATCCGGCGGAACCCCGCCTCTACTACTGGGCTGGGAACCGGGCGATGTTGCCCTGACGGGGGCCTATTGCCTGATTTAGCGCGATACAGTGATTTCACTATCACGATTGATTATGGGGGGCGGGGAGGGGGCGCGGTACATCTGTTACAGACAAATGCATGGGTCTGTAATGATTGTTACTCTTGGGGTGGAAGGCAACCCAACTTTCATCCCCTCCAGGTGTTACACTCCGATTTCTGTCAAGTAAGACTTTAAAAAAAAGAAAAGAAAAAGGCTCCCGGATAATTAGAATTGATTTCAGGCCCACCTTTGGGGGTGGCGGGGGAAAGACTGTCTTTTAAAAGATCTTATAGTGTAAATTTGTGCTACCTCTTGGGAGTGAACTAAAGAATTTCTTTCCCGTTCAGTTTATCTTTCAAAATTATGCTCCAAAAAAACTTGAAGGATGAAACAAGAGGTTTTTGTTCTTTTGTTTTTTGTTTTAATTTCTTAGGCTAACGTTTCAGTAAAAAAAAGTTTTAGCTTTAAAAACTTTCCATTTTCTTTATTGTATTTATTAATTCATCAGAATGAAGTAACTTATAATTCAGTATAGTATTACTGATAGTTAACAGTGTATTTATATTATAAATTTCAGCATCAAAACTGGAAAAAATAAGGAATGGCTGTGGAGGAACTACAGTCTATCATAAAGAGATGTGTAAGTAATTTTTTCTGTTTTTGTTTTTAATGACATTTAATAACCTTTCAGAATATGGGAACGGCACAGATTATTTTTAATTACATCTGCAGTCACTCAAATTGTTAATCTTCTTTAATCCTTGCTTTTTTTTTTTTTTTTTTTAATCCTTGCTTTTTTTGACCTATGAATAAATACCATGAAGGCAGGAAGACAGATTGGATATGTCACTTGGGGAAATAATCTTTACACTTTTAATACTGATCCTTATCATAGATTTCTTTGGCACAGTGGATTTCAAGGCGATTTATTAAAGTATTTTTTAGCCTAATCCTAATTTTCATACATATGCTTATGTGCAGTTTATTTAGAATTTAAACATTTCTTTTTTTAGAGAAAAATCAAGTAGTTATTGAATTTCCATTTGCCTGAACATACTTGGTTTTTTGTTTGTTTTTGCCAGCAAATCCTAGAAGAGGAAGACTTTAAAGAGGAAGATTTTGGCCTGCTTCAGTTAGCAGGCCAAAGATGTATAGATGAAGGGCACATAGATCAGCTGTTAGAAATTATTCAGAATGAAAAGAATAAGGTAAGTACAATCTTTCTAAGTACTTTTTCAGTCTTTACTAGTAAGAGAATAGCCACATGATACTATCATTCATCCATTCCTTTTTTTCAGCAAACATTTAAGAATCAACTTAAATATCCACTGTGGAAAATAAAAAGGAAATAAGATCAATTATATACTTTAAGGTGCTTACAGTCTAGTGGAAGATATAAACATGTAAAGAACTAACAATAAAGAGGCAGAATAAACAGATGGTTTATATCTGTTAACTCATTTAGCTTCTCCAGAGTAAGTGTTACAGTTGAAATATAAGTAAAATGCAAATAATATTTTGGGAGAGCTGGATGACCTTATTGGCCAATATCATCCAGCTATAATTGTCTCAGAAATCATTCTGCACAATGGGAAAGGATCTTCTTGGAATCAGGAACAGGTGGGACACAGTGTTTATAACACCACCTAATTTTGTCTTTGGACCCATCCCAGCCCCACACTTCTATATTAGAGATCATCTTGTTTCAAGGAACATACTTTATAGTCCTATTTTTTTATACAGTTTTCTTTGTAGGGACTTCCTGGCAGTCCAGTGGTTAAGACTGGGTGCTTCCTCTGCAGGGGGCACAGGTTCCATCCCTGATCAGGGAACAAAAATCTGGCATGCCATGTGGCTCCACCAAAAAATATTTTTTTCTTTGTCATAACATTCTAGTCATGCTGGCCTAGGATAACATACAGGGCACCTTGATTGTATTTAGATTACTAAAACCTTTTAATCATACATTGTTACAGAATCTCTTACTAGTTCAAAGGGCTTATCTCTTTTTATAATTTTTTTAGTAAATATTAGGACGTTTTATTTAGTACATTTGTTTTTGATATGTATTTGTAATACCACTGTAGCCCCAGGTAAAATAATGCTTTCTTTAACTCCTTGGTTTTTCCCAATTGCATTCTCAGAGGATAAGCTTTGAGAGTACCTTACTTTTCAGTTCAGTTCAGTCGCTCAGTCGTGTCCGACTCTTTGCGACCCCGTGAATCGCAGCACACCAGGCCTCCCTGTCCATCACAAACTCCCGGAGTTTACTCAGACTCATGTCCATCAAGTCGGTGATGCCATCCAGCCATCTCATCCTCTGTCGTCCCCTTCTCCTCCTGTCCCCAATCCCTCCCAGCATCAGGGTCTTTTCCAGTGAGTCAACTCTTAGCATGAGGTGGCCAGAGTATTAGAGTTTCAGCTTCAGTATCACTCCTTCCAATGAACACCCAGGACTGATCTTCTTTAGGATGGACTGGTTGGATCTCCTTGCAGTCCAAGGGACTCTCGAGAGTCTTCTCCAACACCACAGTTCAAAAGCATCAATTTTTCGGCTAATCATAATATAACTAATAAAAGTTAACAATATTTATTGTGTATCTACTATATACCAGATGCTCTTAGGTGCTTTACATCTTTTAACTCACTTAGTCTCTCCTGAATCCCCTGATAGGATTTTCTAGATAAGAAAAGTGTCACTGAAAAATTAGTAACTTGCCCCAAGTTACTTAGCTTTTATGTGACATCTGACATTTAGATCTGTACAGCTTGGTTTCAGAGCTCTTAACTATTTTTGTCAACCTCCATAGCACTGTGTAGCACTTGCAGGAAGTCTTAGAGTAGAATAGAGAGGACAAATTGTGGGATTGAGAGAGGTGACAAAGACGAAAGGGTTTCTAGCCTCTGAGGAGATAATATATCCTGAACAGAAAAAGGCAATTTAAGAAGGGGAGAATGTTCCCTAGATGGAGGACAAGGAAGTTGGCATTGTTTGGCAATGTTGAGATTAAGATGCAACAGGTAATTGAAATAGGAGATTAAGATGTAGATTTGTGTCTGACTGTTAGAGATTAGGTGATTGTGATAGACTTCAGCATAGTGAGGCTTAACCTTAATAGCTTGAGAATCACCTTGGTAACGTGTGGTTGGTTGTTTATTTTTTGGCTGAGCCGGGTCTTGGTTGCAGTGTGTAGAATCTTTTTTTTTTTTTTTCTAAGTTGTGGCATGTGGGATCTAGTTCCCTGACCAGAGATCAAACCTGGGCTCCCTCCGGCCTGCATTGGGAGTGCAGAGCCTTAGCCACTGGGCCACCAGGGAAGTCCCATGTGTGGTTTTCTCAATTCAAAGGTTCAGATATTGATAAGACAGAGTTTAAAAGTACACCTTAGATTTCTTTTCTAAGAAAGGTGACAGTCAAGATTGATCAAGATTTACTATTAATCCACTTTGTGTAAAAAATAACAGAAGTGTTTTTTAAAGTCACAGGAATGGTAGTTTGTCCTAAGATGTTATAGTGCAGGGATTTTCAACATTGGTACTATTGATATTTTGTAGCAGTTGCCACCCCAGTAATGACAACCAAAATATCTCCAGGCATTACCAAAAGACCCCTGATTGGGAACAAAAGCACCCCTATTGAAACCACTAATGCAGTGGGAAAACTGTCGGCTTTGGAGTGGGACAGCCTTATAGGCAAATCCTGATTCTGCCACATTTTAGTAGACGTTAGGCATCTCAGTAATCTCTGAACTTTGGCATTCTCATCTGTCAATTGGGAATAATTATTATTACCTGGTACAGTTGTTTGTATTAAACTAAACAAGATGTAACTTCTGGATAGTTAGTATTCTCCTTGCTCATAAGGATTCATTATTTACATAGTTACTGGGGAACTTGCAACTAAGATTATGCTTGTGTGATATGTTGTCACAATTCTTTTTTCAACTCAGATATGTACAATTTTATTAAATCTGGAATTTCTCTTAATTATACTGAGAGATGGGCTTCCCTGGTGGCTCAGATGGTAAAAGAATCTGCCTGCCTTGCAGGAGACCCAGGTTCAATCCCTGGGTTGGGAAGATCCCCTGAAGAAGAAATGCTACCCCACTGCAGTATTCTTGCCTAGAGAATCCCATGGACAGAGGAGCCTGGCGAGCTACAGTCCACAGGGTCAGAAAGAGTTGGATATGACTGAGCAACTAACAAATTCACTTTCATGCCTGATAAACTTCTGTTTCTTTAACAAGCCTTAGCATAACCATCCCCTCTTCTGGGAAGCCTCTCTTGCTTTCCCTGGTTAGAAGTGACTATTCTGCTATACTTTATACTCTACCTTTATTATTTTATAAGACTGAGTTCATACAGGGAGTATTATACTGATTTGTATTCTTCCTCAATGTATTTTCTTTTGAATGAACCTAGAATATGAATTCTTTGAGGATAGATTGCTTATCTGATGTGTTTTTTGCTTTACTTCCTGCACCTAGAGTATTCTAGGGTCCTATCAAATATGTTTGATAAATACTAATGAGTTGAAGTAGAATGCAGGTCAGAAAAGT